GAATATACACATTGAATTGAATATATATAAATATATTCGTTTATTTCAGCATAAAAGTACAGAAGATATCGACATAAGTTTCATTTCAAACATTCCCCATCTCTTAATAAGTGATATATTTTCATTCATTTATACGCCTCGATATACTATTAAAAGAATTGAGGGTATCGAGGGGTGTCAAGAGATTTAGTTTGGTTTACAATATTCCCCATGTCTCACACAGTTATTTAACTAAAATCAACAGTAATCTATTATGTTCTTAAACTACTGGACTACTATCTCGAATAAGACAAAATAAATTTTATCGCTTCATTTACTGTGAGCAAATTTAAAAAGTGAACGTTTTTACTCAAACTATTTAAAGTATCTCAAAAGAAATCAACTGTGAAATGAAAAAGAACCTCCATATATAAATGTGGATTAAACACGGCATTGAACCAGCATTGGTAGTAGCAAATCCCTTCGATTTAATGCCACTTTAAACGAGCTTCTACATTTGCACATCTCTTCGAACAGGTAATTTTGCTTAGTTTGTTACTATTGTTGTTGTTGTTGTTGTTGTTGTGGCTGCTTTAAGTTTTCAATGTTGTGAATTTCAAGGAGAATTTCACTTTCTTCTGCAAAGACGAAGATCATGCAATGTCAACTTTACACGATTTCGATCCAGTCTCGTCGTCAATGGAGCAGCTTTGTGTCTGCCGCAGATGTAGGCGGCAATTCGTCGTCAGTCCATTTGTGCTCTGGCTGTACTCGCGTTTGTTTTTACTTTCTTTGAAGTTGAGTTTCTCATTAGGTTTCTGTGAAGAAATTATATTGTGAAGAAATTGTATATACCCGAACTCGTACAGAGAAATGTTTATGTGAACAATTAATTCACAAGTTTATGGGTAGCTCACAGCGCAAATTGAATTATTTTAATTTGTTGTAGGTATTTGGGACAATGTTGCTGAGCATTGAAAATTAGGTCATTCATTCAGTCAGTCAATAATAACGTATTGCAATGCATTACTATTAGTTATATTGGTAAAAGATTGCTTTCATTATTTCAGGAAGATTCAGCAATAAGTACATGAGACAGTTTCTTAGGGAAAACGATATTTTTAATTGATCATCGACATCGTTCAGGATCACGGCACAATAAAACATTGACAGCTTTGAAGTTCGATAGATTTTGGGATGATATGACTGAACTAATACTAAACTCAAATTTCCCAATAATGTATTTCTTTTTACCAGTAAATGCCTAAGCTTATATCTCAGAATTTACAACTTTACTTAAAAAATCGAACATCACATAAGGCTGATCTTAGAAATATTAAGATAAACATTTGAAAAGCTTTGCCGACAAGATCACTAGATGCATAAGTAAACTCTTAAAAAAGGTGTGAAATTGGAAACAAGCCTTAAGTGAGTAATTTAATGGGTGACAGAAAAAACGTTTTGCTTTTATTTCGTTGTAAACTCAAATGAAAACGAAACTATTAATGGGTCTAGATATCGTCAAACATAATTACTCACTCACAGACTCCCATTAGCGAACGTGTGTTTATGGATAGTTTGTGTGTTTTCCATTGATGAACATAACTACAAGTAATACTTGTACATGATAATGACGATGTGATTGCGGCGTGCTTATACTAACTGCAAAACGCCACGCAACAAGCTGGGCCTATTAAATTGGCTTATAAATTTAAGGCAGCAACATCAATTTTACTAACTGCCTTTAATGTTTTTATTGTTTAGACGGTTTTATTTGACGCATCTTGGCTGTCTCGCTCGTAATAAACAAGAGTTTTTGTGGGTATCGGAAAAATGCATATGCAGTTTTTTATCTTTTGTTGGTAGATCCAGAGTCAATGCCTTGTTGGAATTCGTTTTGCGGTTATAGTAATTGAAATGCACGAAGACAAACAGGACGGTTTGGTTTTGGTATATATATGCCATGTTTTGTTTACTTTAAGATACAATGCCGTTAAGCTTCTTAACCCTCTTTTCTGTTCATGTAGATAAATGGTGGTAATGATATCCATTCAAGTTGTAATGATAGAGGTTTACGTTTATTGCCATATAATTTTGTTTTGCATGTTATATTATTTGTTTAACGTATGCAAAGAGTTTCAATCATTCATATCAATTTTGGTTTGACAACAATGTACGGAAGTAGTTGAACTTTGCCAATATATAAAATTGTTTTACAAATTGTTTTAGAAAATTTACACATGTGGTTTTATACATCACAAACTTATAATACATAAAATTTATATTTATTTAATATTGTTGGTTAACAAATTTATGACTTTTATGACTTTTTGGTGATATCCAAATCCTCATAACCTCACTATTTTTGGTGGTTTAGATACATCACATTCCTTATCAGCAGCTTACATACAAATGTAAAATATGTTAATAAAAGGAAGTTATTATTAATATTATTAGAAGACGTAATATATTAGAAGACATTACCGCATCTCTCTGATCTCTATATTCTGTTATCCCTGCAGAAAATCTCAAGCTAATTCGGACAAATTAAGGATATTCATAAACCTTATTTCTAGACTGCTAATATTCGGTTAAGTGAACGTATGATAGATCAATATTCTTATGATCGTCACGAGCAAGACATAAGAACATAAGACGAACGCATAAGATGTGTAGATTTTTCACTCACCAGGAGCGTGTCCAGCTAAGAATTCAGATCTATTAGTACTTCATGACTTGTCCTTCTATGACAACAAAAATTGGACTTCTCTTCTTATTCCCTGGAATATATAGGCTGGAAAAATCCAAAACTAAAATCATAAAAATGAACCAGCGTCACAATAATACTGCTTGTTTTACTGATGTTCACCTCAAGTCTCGCTAGTGTTTTCTTACCTATGAATTGTGAAAAAAGTGTCACCGATATATTCTAGTTGTCAAAACAGTATTAACAGTTCAATTGCAGTGTGTTAGTCAAGATATATACATTGCACATATGTCTAAATGGAACGCCATATTCCATTCTGTAGATGTCACCATGTGCAAAACAATAACGAGTTGAAAAAGTCCAAAAATAGTTGAAAATACGTTTAAATTGAAGAGAGCCAAAGTGCCAGCTAATATCTCCGAAAACGGGAACAAGTGCAAGAATAATTTAACAAAACATGAGTAGCAAACTCATGTTTAAACATTATAATTATGATTATAATTAAATTGGTGTATTTTATTAAAAAAACAAAATATAAAATATATTTGTTTAATGTTCCTGCCAAAAAAATCTGTAATAAAAATCTCTACATTGTTTTGTTAGCTCTAATTGAATAATTTTCTTCTTAATAGTCTTTTGTTTAACTACTTCAAGCGTATTTTTAAAATGGCAAAAGGTTGCTAATAAAGCAATTAAAAGTTGTTTATATAATCTGAAAACATGGTTACATTTGTAACCAGCAATATTTATATGAGTAGCAAGTATCCATAATTATTACGCAAGACCATTATAAAATTCGCGTTTTTTATGTAAATCACAGTAATTATCACAGCTTCAGATGCGACAGATGCTGAGTTCAGATGAATTACTTCACTTCGCATAATCTGCGGAGTGCGTTTTGCAATTAAAACATTAACCAAATGCGCCAGAAAGTGGAGCTAATATAAATCCGGAGACTCGATTTACTAAAAATATTTGTAACGAATTTTGGTTGACAAATTAACGTCGTTTCGCATGCAAATGTCGGTCTTTACTCATTGAGACGGACAATAGCACTACGAGTTGCAATAAGCCAAACAAATTATTCAAATAAAAATTACGAAAAGAAAGAAAAATACAAACGAAATTTTCACTTTCACTGGTTTTTGAAAAAATTGGTCAAATTTATTTTACAAAGGCCGACACAATTGGCAATTAAAGTTGCGTACTACGCGCGATTACGTTTTGATTATCTTGACTTCAAGTAATTGATAAATAAATGAATAAAATTTTTTTAATTCATTTGAAAACTCTTCAAACACACAAGCACACAGCCACAAAGAAAATGATTTGTCATGTTAACGGAATTAGAAATAGGTTCCTGAAATAGCATATTTTGATTTGATTCCTTTCTAGACTGAACTAATCTGGTTTAGTTACTTGATGCGCTATCATTTCTCAATTAATCGATAAAAATTCGTATATGGTTATTAGAAAATATGTGATCCAGCACTAAGTGGTTGGGAGACCATTTCCCTTCTGACAAGAATTTTGAACTCCTTTTATGAATGAACTCTTTTACTTATACTAAGTAAGCTTCTAAAATTTTTTTCATTACTCTGTACAGAATAAGTCGTCGAATTAGGACCAGTGGTAGCAGATAAAAAATCTTCGTTTTCTTGAACTAAACGAAAACAGATATCGTTAGTATCGAGTTTTTCATTCGAGTTTTATTAATGATGAAATTCAAATTGCATCTAATAATACCTAATTTTTATAAGGATATAAAATTTCACTACTCGATATCCCACCGTTTTCAGTAATTTTCTTCTATATTACAGCTCTGGATAAAAATTGTGAAGAGTCTGGTATTATTAATATGCAAATACTTATTAGTTCATATTACGTATAGTATAATACAATTATTTCTAAATAATATTTACATAGTAAGGGTAAGGATAATAAAATAAATTCCATAAATTTTATTTTTCTATTCATTATCAACTCATCTCTGTTTGAGAATAAATAAGTGGAGTACGAAGCCGGTGAGATACACTAAATTTATATTGAGCGATGTATACTAACCCGCGTTTCCGTGCATTTGTATACTTTTATCACCCTCAAACCTCAAACCTCTAAGCTGGACCGAGCGTTTTTTGCCGGTAACAGCTGTTTTGAATTGTAATTCCATTCACACAACAAACCTAAAGACAGAAACAAATAAAAGTAAAATTAATGAAAAATGTTATTTACATAATCTTAAAATTATATGTAAATTATGCCTAATAGGCAACACTTATCAGTGCCAATATCTGATTGATAAGGATAACTGATCATGAAAACGAAACTGGCTTGTCCATGTCTAAAAGAGTTTGACGGCGTATATGCATGTGGCCAAACTCGTCACCCATTTACAGCAACAACCGACCCACTCCACTAAGCTTGAAACATACCAAACCAGATTGAACTCCACTGAATTTTGTCATGGTTAAGTTAACAAACAAATACTACTATGTGCTCTACGTACCCACTTAATCAGGGCAGCTATTCAATCGAGGGGTGCGGTGTTAAGCTAAAAGCGATGGAGATAGAGATGTAACATTTGGATATTTTGTTAGTAAATTAATTGAAAAAAATTTTAAAATTAACGTAATATAAGTAAATTTATTGCTGTTTTGAGTTTTAACAAACACAATAATGCCTTATTTTCTCTACTAAATATCGCAGTGAGGAAAGTGATGTTTTGCACACATTTAATCCAGTTTTAGTTTTTATACGAAAGGAATGTTTATTGAACTACTTTTAATTCAAATCTGAAAAGTCGTTTTGTATGTTGCTCACATGTCTTGTCAGCTGGCATTCACCTTTGGTACAAGAAGAAAGAGTTTATATGATTTTCATTAATTAATTTCCATTTGATTATAAACATGAACATTTTTACTTTCATTGCAGATGCAAAATCGAACGTATGTATCGCATAGGATACTACTAGTTGTCACATTCATAATTTTCTTGCAATGGACGGTTTGTTATTCCCAAGCACCTGTAGAACACCTTGTACCTCCGCCGTTGCCTGTGCCGCAACGGTTAACACATGCAAATGTACCAGCGTTCAATCCTAACAAAACACATCCAATACAGTCACAAACTGCTATAGTTAATGACAGTAGTCAGTCGGTTGAGCAGTCAGGATTCATGAATCGCGTAGCGCGTTGGTTTGGTTATGGTCCTGATGCTGTAATACGAGAACAACAATTGACGTCCAGTTCCCAGCAGCAACCACAATATGCACATAGGAATTTAGCCAGCAAGCAATCATACTACTATCCGAAGCCCAATCCAGCAGCACCAAATGAAGATATTAAATGTAATTTGTGTAACAAATATCCATGGGTACCAATGCTAGCACCAAGTGTTCAATATCCCTTAATACATACACCTGGACAAAATGTCCCACATGTACCTTGGGTACAGAACCTTCAGAACTTAGATGCACAAGCTACTCAAAAACATGTGTTTAAACAACAATTACCAAACCATTCCATATTTAACGGAATACTTCAACAACACGTTCAGTCACAACAGTCACCACCAGTGAAGCAACGCGCTGTGCAATTCAACTTTCCAATCTCCAATTTCTATCAATACCACCAGCCTTCTCATCAAAACCCAGCACCAATTTTACACTCAATTAAATCAGTACAGAATGTCAAGCTTCCAGCCATACCTTCTTTTCAACCAATACCTATACCTAATTTGAGCGAAGCTGCCCAACCGCCTATATATAATGCCCAAAACTTTAAACTTTCGCACCCAACTATTCCTTCACACCTGACTACTCAATCCCTTCCTACTACGGAAATCGCACATTTTTCTGAAAACATTGGAGCACATTCGGAATTACAACCAGACACGATCATACCCACTCAAGTTCCTCCGTCTACAAATGCTGATGACGTCGGTTTCGAAATAATTAAGAGTCACCAAATAACTGATTTTGTGTCTTCTGTTGAGTATCCCGCTACTTTTGTTCAATCCCACGCAATCGATGTTGGCTTAGAAGAAAGCGCAAACTCAAAACACACTACAACTACACCTATCAAAATTCTAAACTATCAAAATCAATATTTAGATACAAGGCTCAATAACCATTTACCGGGATCACAGATACTTACAGACCTTGGTGGTTTTTCAGAATCTCAAGCAAATCAGAATTCAGATTTTGCTACTCAATCATATGAACAAACCACAACAACAAGTATTCCGCGAACTACACAATTCCTGGAACAGCTAGCTAATGCCCACAACCAACATGTTCAGCATACGCAAGACGTAAAAACCGCTGACAACTATCCATCTGCTTCCTCCCACAATCTAACAACAATTTTGCAAAGTAATAACTTAGTGGAATGGCAAGTGCAACCTGATGAACTATTTTACAGAACAACGCCTGCACCAAGCATACCAACAGAAGTATTTACGGAAAGTATTCTCAAAACCGAAACACCTGAAAATGAGTATTTTCAAAAACAACAACAGCGTGGTCGTGTATTTTTACAACAAAAAGAACACGAGGAACCAATATTTTTAAACCGTGACCGCTTAACACCAAAAAGACTATTAAATGCTCCAATTCAGTATCCACAGTTAGGTAACAATCCGCCCCGTCCATTCACTCGGGACCCAAGTGATCTCAATTTTAGATTGGGATCAATAAATCAAGCATCCAATGAGTTTCATTATCCGAATCATGCCTATGCTCTAGGAACATCTACAGCAGCTCCCCCACTAGTAGTTTCGGCAGCTGCACCTACACCGACGTCAACATACAGTGCTATAGATGCCAGTGGTCATTATGCAGGGATGTCTCCACCGCCACCTAGACCTGCAGCAACTAAAACAAACGTGCATCAAATAGTCATACCTTACACAACAAAGAATCGTCCGAGACCATTTCAGCCAGTACGCACTGTAGAGAGTACTAGTCCAATTTCACCTTGGCGAAATGGTGTAGATTATCATGAACAGCAAGAGTCTCAAGTAGTCAGCTCAGCTACGGAGATACCTGAAACAACACGCCGCTCGAACAAATATTTAACAAAAATTCTAGCTTCGAATTTAAGAGAGCTTTTAAAACGTGAACATGACACAAAAAATAAATCACATTCCAACGGATTTGATTTGAGAAAATTGCAAAAGAATATCGACGATTGGACCGAGCAGGAATACACATCACTCTCTCACCGCCCAAGCACACCTACAATACGTGGGCGCTCCAAACATATTCCAACAGAATATTTAACAACGACTACGCCAACACCAAAGCAAACAAAAACCGCAACTCAATTTAATTCAGGCGAACTGACTTCGTCTATTAACAATTTGGAACCTCTCGCAATTGACCAAGGTTCAAGAAGATATAAACCAATTGACGACAACAGTCTAGCTGATTTTTATGACTCTGAAGTTTTGATAAGCACTAAAAGTTCTAAATTTAAACACTTTACGCAAACATCATGGACAACTATGGCGGTTTCAACAATACCAGAAACATCAACAGCTACAATACCTATCCACCTACACACATATCAGAATAAGGAACCAAAAGAACTTTGGCAAAAAGGTAAAATTTCAATATCTCCACAAACGAACGAAAAAGTTTACGTTGTTACTCCACAACCACGATTTTTTCCACAACGATTTGTAACGACATCAGAAACCCCAGAAGTCAATGAACCGGAAAGTGTGAATATTTCAAAAAAGCCAAGGTTCTTGGTGAGGCCAACACCTGGAGATCGTAACTATTATTCAATTATGTAATATAAAATATATACAATTTATATATTTTTTTTGTAGATACAAGTATTGGTGGTAGTCAAAGGACAACAAATGTAACACACGCATTTCACAGCCCTACGGAATTGTTTGGCTTAATGGGACTTTCAGCATTTGTGTCTTCTGAACCAGTTGAAATAATCGACGGCAACTCAAAAGTAAATCATTCTCAAAGAAAATAGTCAATCAAACCGATATTAAATGCTTCTTTTCGTACACTCACACATATACACAATTACAAACACATGAATATATAAAACACACCCACCTACTATTCATCCAACATTTTGTTAGGTCCTCAACATCGTTACACCACCTACAAACAGCAATGATGACTTAAGGAAAATAGACACTCAGGCACCTAAACTACCAAAGTCCACAATGTCGCCTTCACCGAGGTAAACGACTCTAACAACAGGAAATGTCAAGCTAACAAAGATTAGGAGAATCAGGACCGAAGAGGAGAGAATAATTAAGACGCCTTTTGTAAAATAATTTCTTAAAATTTATAGATTAAAGAGCTTTACGAAACTAGTTTAAGTCTAAAATTAAGGAAGTACTTGTCTACAGAGTTGCGCTTTTTCGCATTTTATAGCTTTAATTTTATAACTAAATTATAAAAGTTTATGATTTGAAAATTCTTGGTTTGTTATATAAAATATACATATATCTGTATATATATATGTCTATAATTAAACGAACTCAAATGTGTAAAAATAATATAACATAAATAAGTAAATAACAGAAACGTGAAAGGACTATATTAAAAGGTCTTACCTATGCGTTAAACTGCAAATAAAAAAGTCACTGAAACCAATCACTGCTTCAAGCATTTCACTGATCTGTAAAATTTGTTAGTAATTTGCGATAGCATAAGAAAAACATTTGTTGAAAAATACAAGATTGCTGTCAATAATTTCCGTTAGATGGTGCTGCGTATGGTTTGAGTCTTCGATAGAACGAAAATTTTATAGTTGAAAAGCTTTGTTTAATTCAACTAAAATTATAATAAAAATAATAAAAATAAAATATAATATTCAGATTAGCAACGCCACTAAGAGAATAATTAATGGGGTTTTCAGAATTTTTCTTCTTCATCTTTCTAAAAATATTTTATTTTCTCTTTTCAACAGCAAAAAAAACCATTGTTAAAATAGATCTATTTCGTAATGCTTTAGGGGCTTTAATAATTGTAAGAAGGTTTAATAAAATGCACTGAATACTCAAGCAATTTTTAAAGAAGAGTTATTAAATGTCGTGATTAGTTTTCTTTTTATAAAACTTCATGAATACATGAAAATATATTTTCAATATATATGTATTATGTACATATTAATAACAATATCTACAGCTTCATAGAACTTTTGTTTTGAACAAAATATTCTGTCACATCATGCACGGTAGCAGAAAAGTAAGTTGCTATACGTGCAGACCGCTCGCCTCCTTGGCCAGTATTGAGGAAGCTTGAAGCTTGCGCTGGCACTAAGCCAGCAGATCAGTTAACTTTCATCAGCGGTTCGCACATGTTTCCGTTTACGTTTGCGTAGGTAGCGACGTACCAAAGCTTCGACCGTCCATGATGTAGCAGCTATAAATGTCATTAGATCCAGACAATGTAGTGCTACCGAGTAATTAAACCGATCACGTATGAGCCCTGAATAAAACATTATTTTTAGTAGCATGCTAAGTGATTTCAACATATGAAATATGCTTACCCACAAAAGGACCAGCAGCTAAAGTGAATATTCCAGATATCAATAGTTGCAGTCCTGATGCAGCAGGTAATCGATTCAGTGGCACGTAACTGGGAATAATTAGCGGCCAAAATATTGTGCGTATGCCTTTAAATATGCCCAGCCAAGAAAAACACGCGAGAAGCATTGTAAATGATCTCGTAGCTGCAACAACAGTTCGACCTAATGCTATGCCAACAACACCAATTAGGAAAAATACTCTATTGTCCCATGGAATTTTTTCAGTTAAGAAAGGCACCAAAAATCGCATGGTTATATCTACACCTGCCAGCACGGACATTGCTAATGTGATTTGTGACGTTGTAAAACCAAAGTCACTCAAAATAAAGGGTGTTAAAATAGAGAAGTTTAATTCGCCGAAATTAATAAAAGTCAAACCCAATACTAAGTTCACATATGTAAAATCACGCAACAGATTCAGGTCGAAAAATGCAACAACCTTCTGCAAAAAGGTGTAGTCCTTTACAGCAGTGTCTCCAGACTTACATTGATCTGCTAGAGAGACCTTTCTGCTCTGCGTGCTTTGTGATTGCAGTTCTGCCTGGATTTGTGTAAGAGCTCTCATCTCGTGGCAGGTGCAACGTAGTTCGCAACTTTCTACATCTGGCTTACTTATCTGTGAAAACAACGGTCTTCTATTTACACTATTTGTGCGCTTAAACACCTCTTCTCGCTCTCTATTGAAATTGTTAGGCTTAAAAAATTCGTCAAGCTCTTGTTCTTCCTCTGAAATAACTTCTTTATATCTATTTGTAGTCTCCAAGTCTTTAGAACTTGAAATTGTTTTAAAACGTGGACGCCCCGAAGTTAATGATAACTTAGAACCGAACCATCCGTCATTTGCACGTGACAACATTGGAGTACCAGGTTCAATAATTTCATACCCTGGATTGTCAACATCATCATCTTGATAAAGATATTGACTTGAGAATATTCCAGTTTCTTTCATCTCCTGCAGGTTACAAAAATTACATCGTATTTCAGCGTCTTCTGAAAGTGCTTCATTGCAGGATGTTTTGATTTCTTGTTTTTTTGTATGATATCGCACTGGCTGATAGATTAAGGCACAAACTACCGCGTGTAGCGAAAACGCAGCAAAAATGAATACAGTTCCCTGCACACCATAATTCGAAAGTAGCAATGTAACTATATATGGAAGCACAATTGGACCAAGACCTGTAAGAGTCCATGAGAAACCACAAGCTTTTCTTCGTTTATGCTGAAAATATGTGTTAATGGCTAAAGATGAAGCAGAAACGCTTATGCCCATACCGAAGCCTATTTAAAATTAGAAAATTAAAACTAGAAATTTTATTGTCAAAGATTCTTGTTATCGAACTTACCAAACAACAGCGCATAAGAGAACATGTAACCCATAAAAGTTTCCGAAAATCCAATCAGTATAATGCCGACAAATATAAAAAGCGCACCAATTAACGCTACCTGGCGAAAAGAGAAGCGTCGAAACATTGGACCGTTCAGTAAACCTGTTAAATTGAAAATATTATTTTACTTTATAGATTATACATATATACCATTATTCAATCACCTGAGCAGGCTGAGATAGCTGGATTTGTGTTAATAATTGTAGTTACTTGAGAGCTTGTTAAACCCAGTACGCCCATTTGATCTCGGAATATCAAGCCAAACTGCAGTACACATGGATATATTGACAACTGCAGGTCAATGAAAGAAAAATATTTATGTAATTAAATGAAACAAACATCAAACAGTGCATACGTACGTTTGATATGCCTGCGGCTACGCATACCAACCAAGCCCACCCACCATCGGGCGCTATAAAATGTTCACCCAAATCACTTTTGTCGTGTCGTGGTTTCTTTTCTTTGGTTTCAGTTACAGGTGTTTCTGTGGCGCTTTTATGTGAGAATATAAACGCCTTCTTCTGCGCTATAATCGGCACCGTTGTTGGCTGGTATATACGACCATTGTTCAAATTTGTATTATTATGTTTCCCCATGCCCAACTGCAATCAAAGTAAAAGTAAAGCATTCAAAACAAATTCGGGATGTGAATTGATCTAAACAGCGTTGACTTATGCTAATACTTGTATTTCAGCCTAAGCAAACTTAAGTAACAGAATATCGTAAATTTGGAACACATGCCGCGAAAATGGCATATTAAAGTCAAGTGCAATTGCTTGCTCTACACAATTAGAGGTGTGAAGTACATCGTACAAAAAATGATTAAATTTTATTGCTTTCCTATTTAAAATCGACTGCAGTGCACTACAAGTGTCTATTGGATTTAAGTTGGATTTTCATTTAACTTTTTAGGCGTACGTGACTCTATTCCACAGCTTCAACGTCAGGCGGCAAAGGTTCGTGAAAAACAAACTTACACGGAGTATCTGAATAGACAATGTTTGTCAAAAAGTCAGCGTCAAACAGACTCGCGATGCGCCGCTAACATGAAAAATATTTACTTTCGCTTTTATTTCAATTGTAACTTAATTATTAATTATTAATATTGTTTTTTGCACTTTTCGACGATGCAATTTCAGCTTTTCACACTGAGATGTGATAAACTATAAGTTCAGGGTTACGTGAAGAGCGACTCTGCTTTGTTCAATAGCCTAAAAACTGAATTTAACTCAATTTGAAGGCTCTCTTTAAATCTACCAAATGTTCTTCGTCTTATCTGCGAAATTTATGCCAAAATTTAGTCCGAGTAGTAACAAAAAATTCAAATGACACGCAAATATTCAATATTTTGGCATTCCACATTGTAGACGAAAAATAATTATAGATTTAATCATTGAACTTCAGATCTGAAACCAAATATTTCGTACGGCATATCAACAATGTATGAGTGTCAGTAATTTAATTACACTTAGCTAACCAGAGACCTAGTTCAAAATTAATAAGACGTTGGTTAATTGTAGTGTTGGTAAAACTAGATTCACGATATAGATCTGCAATAAACCATTCAGTACTAAATAGAAATAGAAAATGGATAAATAAAAAGAAAATAAAATAGAATTAATTAACAGCCTACTGAACATTTAGAAATTTATTAAAAAGAGTTTAAACGAAGTTAATGAAATGCCAGAACAGCGTACTAAACGAGTGACCAAATGAAAATGAAACATCAGAGCACCAGATCAAATTAAGAGTGACAGCTTACTCTTAATAAGTGGTTATTATCTTTAAAAAGGAAGGTTAGTTTTGAATATATTAGAATTCAGAAGTAAAAAATTTCATACTCAGTAATCAAGAAACAAAAACACTTCAACATTCAAGGTTGAGAGGTCTCTAATATTCCTGTCTATGGATTCCTATAAATTTTTTAGGATATATTTATTAGGTAAAATCCGAAAAAGTAAAAAAAATGGTAATAATGGTAATGGTAATAATGTTAAAAAAGTTATGTAATATTTATGTCAATATATATGTACTAGTGAACGGATCAGTCAAAAACTTCTTCAGTCAGATGTTGGACAATCCATTGAAAATTGAACTTTGCATTCGTAATTGGTCAGCAAAACCCAATTCTAAAATTTATGAATGAGTCGACATGACTGCGGAATGCTTAATCAGACAAAAATAAAAGGTAATTTCAATTACGATTATGGAAATCAAACGAAACTAATCACTGTCGTTGAGATTCATATTGAAAAATTTTAAATTCATACTCGTATTATGTTATTACTCTGTGATCGAATTTATCAAAACTTTTATACGACGCAAGCACCTAAGCACCTTGCAAAGAGAGCTGGTGAGAAAGGTTCTGTTTGTATTATCGAAACCTATAAATTGTATAAGTATACGTTTTATCAATCTTATCGAAGTAGCTATTTGAGTTGTATTGTTGAACTAACTACTTAAAGATAAGAAGAAAATGGTATTTGCAAATCTCGCTATGCGAAAGGCTAATGCCTTGGCATAAATTTTATGCTAAGATTACGCAGATACAAAAAAATCGTTCAATTACTTTGTACATCTAACGTGAAAAATGTGATCTTATATAGCAAATTTTTAACCGAAGAGATTTTGGAATGGGTTTTGCCATTACTCAACCGTACCCAGCATTGCCGGTTGATTCAGTTGAAATTTTGCTTTTTACTTGGCCATAATTTGACTAATTTATTGTCCAAGTTGTTGACATCTGTTCAATTTGTTGTAAATACTTGCAGCAACATGGTGTCATGAGTTTGAAAATTGCGAGATAAAATATTATCTTGTAATGTGCTCGTTACAAGCTTATGTATACCCACTCCTCGCCGGAAACTGCACTGCACTATTAAAGCATTCACGTCACATTTCTGTTATGGTTTGAAAAAATTCTGCACCTAAGCAGGAGTGCGGGGTTTTACACTATTTTCTGAGATAATTTGGTTTTATTTAAAATTTTCTTGGCAATGCGCATATCTGAGACAAATTTAGTTTTATAGCTTTGTTATTCACTGCGTTTCAAATTTGAAATTTTTATATTTGTTTTCACATTCAAACGCCTGTCAAGTTCAAGTGTAACTAGAAATATGTGCCACTAGCCGTGTGTACTGCAGTACTGATTTCAAAAAGTTATCAGCTGTTAAAGGAACGAACCGAACCGACCAACGCACTCGTACTAACAGCGCTCACATAATCTCCCATAATTCCCACTAAATTAACTAAATTTGGTTATCACTTAAATACATTTCAATATTTCTGATTCACGTACACTTCACTGCTTTTGTTTCGTTTGTTTTCACGGAATTTTTAAATCACGGGATTTCGTTCAAGTCTACAAAGATTGCTGCTGTCTTCACTTGCATTTCCGGAACTTGATTCGGTGGTTTCCGATTTGAGGCAGCAGTTTTCCGTTACAGACACATGCAACTACAACTGCTGCTATCAACTTTTCCTATTCGCATTTGCTCACGTACTAACTTGTGATTAGCCTGCCGCTAGACCTTTTCTACCGCAAAGTTCTGAATATTGAGTGAACTTTTGCGAAACACTCAATTTTTCCCTGTGCTTAGATTGATTATCTTTTGATGCTTTCGTGCTACTACACTTGTCAAGTATCGGCGTTAATTATTTTATTTGTTTTAATTATTATCTCAGCTTTTTGAAATTAAAATTAAATTTCCAATCGCCAATTGCCTGCTTTTAAAAACAGATGAGTTCGTGTTGGTTATTATTGATTTTGGCAATACAAATTATAACGAAGATACAAATTTTGAAATACATCTCAGCATTTTAAATGAAACCATACAAAATTTCACAATTTTCCTTCACTCAATTCACTCTTAAATGCTCGAAAGGCAAATTTCCCTCTTTCTCTCTGCGCAATGGAACACTTTGTACATATAAATATATTTAATCTTTATTATTTTTGTTTACAAATTCTCAGATTGTGGCACCTGTTGAGGGACGCAAAGTCATTTTATTACTTAAGTGAAAATATAAAAAAACAAAAAATAAAATTATTTACTGTTTACGAAATATCTCAAACCCATCAGTTAAATGATATCCTTACGAGTTCAAGCCTAAAATCCTGATATCTTCATATCCTCATTTAGTGGAAAATTACCTGTGCACATAGTTTTCATAGTGCCGAAAACAATAAAATCGCAATAAATCTAAGAATCCCGAAAAAGTAATAAAACATTTCAGTCAATATTAACATTTTTACGAACGCACTAATTGACTTCAATATGCATTATTTGTGGAATTATCTTAAAAGAAAATCAATTCTTATAGAAAAATTTCAAAGAAAGGGGTTTTCGTTATGAGATGGCAGCTGCATTAACGATCACGAAAGTCAATACGAGTAATTTTCCAAACAAAAGAAGCAATTAGTGACCGTTTTTCGAATTTGGAAGACGCAAAAAGCACTTAAGAGTAAAAAAGGTTTCCTTGATTTTAAAAATCTATTAATTACTAGTGTTACAATATATTCCCAGTTAATACAAGGTAACTGGGTATATTTCAAAATTTTAATTAGGAATATTTTTCCATGATTCTATGAAAGTAATATCTCTTCTATTAATCTTCCACTTCCAATATTCGAGCCCGTAACTATAACTATATAACTAAGTTGTAGTAAGTTTAGTTTTCACAAGTAGCAAATCTACTTCAGTTAAGCCAAGGAAGTCCTTTGTGCTATTAAATTTCTCGATGATCCTCATAAACTCATAAACTTACTAAACCATTTGTCATGTTTAACAAATCTACTCAAATTGTTTGTGTCAGTATTCTTTTTCTGTAAAAAATACTAGATCATGTTAGATTATCACATTATACTAACACAGCGCAGTTTTCTACGGTGTTATGCAAATTTCAAAAAAAATCAATTCTTTATCAGGCAATGTGTGTAATCATAAATTAGGAATATGTGCACAAAAAGACAAACACAGGTGTCTAGTACCCGTATCTGGTTTCGAAACAGATTTAATCTTTCCTTCATTATACTTTTCACAAGAGAACAACTCTAAATGATTAGACCGTTATCCAACCTTATTGAATTTACAAAATTTCTCTATTTCTACGCCAAGCGACATATCAGAGGTGGATACTGAATCAGTGCATAATCCCGTTACAGGACTTACGGCATTCTGCCACCGTTTTTATGTATATGGAGATAGAGCATACTTTATCGTTTGTTTATATAAAACTATTAACAATTAAAAAATATTTTTAATTTTAAATTATAAGTAAGAATTAGGTTATTTCAAGTTAGAAAAAAATTTATATTAAAAATAAATTTTATTTAAAAAATATCTGATTAAAATATATATATAAGGTATATAAAAATATATTTTTATCGAATACGGAAAATAAATTCTTAGTAAAATTTATAACAAATATTTGCAAAATGTAGAACATTTAGTAATCTCTGTACTAAGTAATAAATAAATTTTGTCATTACTCTAACTACAACTAAACTAATATATATTCCACAATACGTTCTATTCCTATATATACACATACTGTTATAGTATATATGAAAAAAGTTATTGTATAAGTAGTTTTTTTTACAAACTCTTTTTCATTTAAAACAATAAGTAAATATTCTTAATCTTAATAAGTTCTATTTTTATGTGAAGGAAAAATATACAATGTAGAATTATACAAAAATAAATTATTAGTTTTAATACCTCACTTAAATACATATGTATATATATAAACATATGGTACTACCGGCTTTCAAAATTTTTTTGTCGAGAACTTTGTTCACGGAAGACACAAAAATCTTCGTAAGGCACATTTTTTTCTACTTCTAAGTACATTAAAATAAGTAAATTATTGTTTGGTGTGAATTTCCATAAATTCCAATATTGAAATTGATCTCTAACTAGGTATCCAACTGCATGGTTCATGATTATGGTGTTATTAGTTATCGTCCATTGACACAGATTTTCTTCGCAGTGTGCGCCGAACAAAGGACTCAGTAAGCCACATTAATAGAGCGAGACAGGTGAGCACATTAATGAAATGTATTGTCACTTTGTAGTTGTAAACGTCAGTAATAATGCCTATAATATATTAAATAAATTCATTAGTTTTAAACAACTCAATATATGTTTTAAAATAACATACCCAATATAGGTCCGACAGCACATGAGAAGATTGTGTGGAAAATCAACTGCAAACCGGAAGCTGCCGGCAGACGTTTTAACGGCACATAACTACAAAATTCACAGAAAATACGATTTATATAAAGTGATGAAAATGGAAAGAAAAAAATGTCTATGCCTACCTTGGTATAATCAATGGTGAAAAAATTGTACGGAAACCTTTACCGAATCCAATCATAATAAATACTGCCACAATAACGTTGAAGGAGTTCGTCAAAGTTACAATAAGTCTACCTACAGCAATTATGATGATACCAATGGCGAAAAGGAAACGATTATCTAATTTTACTTTCTCGAGACAAAACGGCGCCAGAAAACGTACTAAAATATCCATACCACCCAGCAATGACATAGCTAAAGAAATTTGTGGATCTGTATAACCGAGACTATTCAGTATAAAAGGTGTTAACACAGAGAAATTCATTTCTCCAAACATCATTATAGTCATGCCCAATGCAAGATTAACAAAAGTAAAGTCTTTCAACAAATCTAAATCAAAGAATTTCACGACCTTTTGGAAAAATGTCATTTTACTTTTTGCTAATTCCTCAGCTTCTTGTTCAGCCTTTGCTCTCTCTTGTTCTTGCTTAATTTCTTCATCTGATATTTTTTGGAGTAAAGCCTTTTCTTCTGCACAAGTGCAACGTAATTCATCAGCACCTGACTTAGAATAAACACTACTTTTGCTGGTATAACGATCAATGTCATCACGTTCGCGATTAAAGTAGTTTGATTTGTTATAACCGCGCTCGGTATGAATTCCTCCTCTGCCTGCCTCAACACCTTCACGACTTTTCATAGAAGCTTGTCGAAGCAATTTTTGTCGATATTTCATACCTGTTTCTGAAGCTAAAGAAAGTTTAGATCCAAACCAACCGTCATTAGCGCGTGCTAACATAGGTGTGATGGGCTCGATTATTTCATATCCCGGCTTTTCAGGGTCATCATCGTTAAACAAATATTGCGATGAAAAGATGCTGCGTTTAGATTTGTTTTTATATTCACAGTATTTACAGAGGTATTCTGGCTCGTCATTGGCGTTGTTTGCTGTAATTGCGTTAGTTACTGTGTCTCCATTGGTTTTTTCATTTGTGACTGCTGGTTGTTCAGGTTTTTTAACATGCCAAAGTACTGGCTGTAATGTTATAGCGCAGAGGAATGCATTTAACGACACTCCAGAGTATAGTAAAATCGCGCCTTGTACACCATAGTAACTAATAAAGAATGTGGATACATGTGGGAAGATAATCGGACCAAGGCCAGTTATGGTCCAAGCATAACCTGTAGCACGTCGTCTACGATTTTTAAAGTAGGTGTTGACAGCTAAAGACGTTGACGCCATTGTCAAACCGAGACCAATTCCTAAAAAAATATTAATAAGCTATAAAATGATTTAATAGGCTCTGTTATAAATATACCTACCATAAATGCAGGAAAAACATATCACATATTGAAAAAATGTGGTACAAAAGGCAGATAAAAAGATTCCCGCAAACACAAGGCAGCTGCCAGTCATTGCTACTTGTCGAAAGCTGAACCTTCTGAACATTGCACCATTTACAATGCCTACTAGTGAGGATATTGCCATTACAATATTCACTATTGTAGTAGTCTGTTTGGCGTCAAAACCTAAGACTTCCATACGCTGACGGTAGATAAAACCATACTGTTGTAATGCAGGGAAAATTGCAAAATTACTGAAGCCGGCTGCAAAGCATATCACCCAACCCCAGCCGCCATCGGGTGCTACAAAATCTGGTCCCAAATCACTCTTATCCCTCCGTTTAGGCTTCTTTGGCCTTGTGGTTTCATTGTAGACTGCTATATTATTTTTTTCTGTGAGAGTAGATTTGTCAATGGCCATCGTCAAAATATTGCAGTTTAGTGTTGAAAATTCTACAAGAAAGAAAAAGATATTTTTAAAACGATTTGAAAAAAGTGCTAAGACAAATAAATAAGTAAATAAATTCCTGATAATTGCTTCTTTACAGAGAAATTGCTAATAAAATGCCTATTTCCAGAATACATAAATTCTGAATTACAAGACCAAATCGGAAAAAGCAACGCAATAATTAGGCGTGTGCATTCGATTGTTAATAAAACTTAGTGGATTGTTATTTCGAGCTGTGCTCCTTTGTGCCTGACTGCAAACTCCTTCCACTCCACTCCACTCCACTCCACTCCACTCCACTTTATTCATTTACTTTTTATATGAAATATGCAGACATATAATTCTTTCTCCAAGAACGCACTTCAAAATCTTGAGTAATTTATTTTTAAGTTTGCGCATGTAAATACAAATTCGAACACACACTAACACACAGGTTACATGTTCATACCGGCGCAGATATTCCTATGATTTTCATATGGCCATGGATACTCAGTTACATTGTAATTATTGCTTTAGTTTGTTGCGTGCCCAGAATCGACAGTGAATCAGCAGAAATCTTAAGCCAACTTAATAGAAACTGTCTTTTGACTTAAACTCTTTATTATGTTTTTCTATTCACTGCGGCCTGCACCACTACCCGTGCTCATATTTAATCAAGACTTTAAATTATAGTGTAGATGTAGCAGATACTCCTCCTTCTCTTTAACGATCGGTGAAAAGCATGTAATTATTTTCAGTTTGTTTTAGCCGTGGCTGTGCTTTTCCTTTGATTTAGCTACGATAGCCTCTCGCTCGGTGCACAACGATAATCGCTTTTATCATGTGAACTGATCGGAATCAATAAAATTGGCATTAACAAACTTTGGAATTTGTCGTCTGTGTAAAGGAATTTCGAATAATTTAATCACAGATCACATTATCATTACACATTTTATTATGCGAGGAGTGGCGTTGTTCGATTGCCGCGAGTACATATTAAAATTCGAATTCGCAATCTCAAATCGTAGCAAACAGCAAAACATTTAAATAATCTCAACAAATTAATAAAAAGATGTTATGAAATTATAATATATATTTCTATATACTAATATAGTATACCATATACAGAATACACTTTCGGACTGGCGTGGATGGCCGATAAGCAATCGTTGCACCTTGGCAGTAATGTGAATCTGATCATGCAAAAAATTATGGAAGGGATAGTTTGTGTTGCATAGTAAGAAACTCAGTGTATATAAAATCAAAATTCAATAAAAATGTATATATAATAAAATATATTTTAAATATTTTATAAAAGAATACGTTATAATTTATGTGACTTCCTCTAAATTAGTACAAAAGTTATTATACTATTCTATTCATTACAGCTTTTCGAAAAATATTTACGGAAAACAATAGGCACGTTCTCTTGTATTTTATAATCAGATGATTACTCATTTTAAATAAATCTAAAATAAATGCTTATGATATACTCTTATCTGAAGTAATAGTAAGATCCGAACTATCGATTGTCACGCTACTTTGACTCAAAAAAAGGCAAAAATCATAACTAAATATTATGATATACCGAAATAATCGCCTAATGAAAAAAATTTGGCTATAATCCTTTGGTGTTTGGTCACATCACGGTGTATATAAGTTATGCCAACAAAATAACATATTAAAGTCTGAAGGAATTTACAAACACAATTTGGACTATATTTCTTGTTTTAGGGAAACTATTTGATAGTCTTTAAAAGTGGCCCCGTTAGTGACTTAAAAGTTGAAATTATCAATATTATCAACCGTGCCATCAATAGTCTGAATTTTGAAGTAAGCATATAACCTATAAGTACAAAACATTTTTTTGTTTTAATTTAATCTATAAGATATTCAAATTAATATTGGCTTGAAATGAAGCCAAATAAATAAATATTGAAAGATCCGCAAAAATAACCCTTGAGAGGATAAAAATAATATAAAATAATCAAACAAGAGGAATTAGGTTTTGTTATCTATAAATTCGGATATAGTACTTTTAAATCTGAATATTTATGTATATTTTTTTAAAAACTTTATGATTTTAGATATTGAGCAAAAATTGTTTTTTAGGCTTTCAGTGATGGTAAATAGGTAATATAATCATTTGATTTTTTCAGAATTTTTTGATCAGATTAAATTTGACAAATAGCAATCATATTATGTAAATATTTTATACCAATACAATCCTTTGCACACTATTGAAACATATTCTTTACTCTAAATAATTCTTTAATCAATTGCTTATAATGCTTTTACAGTTGTCCAACTGCAATAAATTCAGTTAAAAGATGAAGTAGCTGAAAGCCGATATGAAATTCATTCTTGCAGTTTGCGCAACAGAAAGAATTATCGGTTAAGGTTACTTGCAGCAGAAAAAAGTATCTCTTGTTTGCATGTTTATTTCAGTTTACCTTTTACTCATTTCTTGTCTTATTTTATTTTTCTTTATAGAATTATTAATGTTTATTTGCTATGGTAAATCTCACTTTTAATACCTGCGGTTTGATATCAAAACATACAATTTACAATCTTCATATTTGTACTTCATTAATAAGTTACAATCGACTTTGTTGTGTTGGTATCTTGTGGATGAACTTGGTTTTACGTTGTTTACACCGCAATCCTAGAACAAGATTTCTTGTTTGTATGTATCTTGCCAAAGCAGAGGTGTAGTAGCTAATAAAATTACTATTGTAAAGCAAGTACAATAGTAACGAAGCATCACAAAGCGCATTTCTTCTGATATTTCATTTCTTTTCAATCTAACGACTTTCAACCCTAGCCACGAATTATGCAACCGTTTTTACCAAAAAATGTGGCCTAAAATGTCACCTTTCACACCCATCTTCGTTTGACATATTCGAAGTAATGTTGCCAGATATATCGTTACCAACACCGTCTGATTACAAAAAACCGTGGAAATTTTTAATATAATCCAATATCAAGAATCAATCCAATATTAATATCAAGACTCGGTACCCTCTGATGGAAAACACGATAGAGGACCTCCGAAGAGGACATCTTCGGTAAAAGGACCAAGTGACTAACGATATAAAAGGACTCAGTATCAAAATACTGGTGACAGTAAGCTATTGAACGGGCTGGCTGGCGGAGCCTACTAGATACGGCCAAGGATGACTCACGTCTGTAATGACAAACTAAGTATGTAAATGATATACAGTATAGATTAAGTTAGACTATCTCGAAATAATTAAATAACTCGAAATGATTAAAACTATTTGTAATAACTATATTAACTATAATGTTAACTATACATTATATAAGGCATGCTCTTTATGAAGTTTTAAAAGGACTAGATTAGTAATGAAGAAAGAGAGCATGATTTTTATGGGTTTTAAAAATGACTAGATAACATGTGACTTGCCATGTGACTGCGTTGGGCATGCACGATAATGATAAAGTACATATGAAATGCTTTTTCAAGATTTCTACAATTGTCGCAATACTGACTTATTTTTGTAATGAATAGTCAGTAAGTACTCCTATTAAAATAATGACTTGCTGAATAATATTCTCAATAAGATCGCTTCCAGTAAAAGACACCGACATATTTGCAGATTTCTATATATACGCCTATTTTCCAACATCTATGCTTTTAAAAGTAAAAATTAACAATACCAATACTAATATCAATGGCAATATCAATTTATGTAGGTATTTTTGAAACATGTAACATTTTGTATTAGTCGCATAGATACTTAATTATTTTTATTTAAATTTTGCTCAAAATCCTTCAATGCATTTGGAGGATTAATCTACAGATCATATTTTTTTTCCAGCGGAAAAAGCCGTCCATCAAAAAACAACCTTCAAAGGTACTCACGTTCATTAAAACCACTAATGATCCAGCTAAACAACCATACCTCATTTTAAATAATAATATTTTAGGGTTTTATAGATTATCCATTATTTTATGTATATTTTTCTGCCAATCATTCTAGTTCCCGTCCTGAAAATGAGATGGTTGCGCTGCTATAAAAGGCGCTGCCTACGCCTCTGCCCAAACTATTTATTTATGTAAAATTATTTAAAATTTTTAAACTGTGTGGAAATCATGATAATTAAATTGCTTGTATTTACATGTTCGTTATTAAAAGCAATGTCCCAACAAGTCTTAACAGCATTAGCGATGCGAAAGGCTTGCAGTTAAACTAAATGGATCACATAAAATTTTGATTCCATTGGCTAATAAATAACTGACTGCTCCGCAATGTCTTGAAAATGTGGTGAAATTAAAGAAGCAAAAATTTCCAATAATTGTTTTTGAATTGGATTGATTATTAATTTCAATGTTATGTGTCTCATTTTGTACATAAAAATACTATAAAATGGTATTAGGGAAAGCTTAAAAATCAATTTGATGATTTGTAGAAATAGTTTTTGATAAAAAAGCATTGAGTATATGTGATAAGTGCCACAGCACGTGTACGTGTATATCAATCCAGCTCACAGTCGTAATTTGTTCATTTTTGTACTGTATATACTCGGAACTTTGAGAATTAGTCAACTACTCATTTGCGAAGCAATTGTTTTACGATTGCAACAATTCAAGTGCTTAAATTTAGTATGCGATTATTTTAAGCACCCTGTAAGCCGCAATTATTAATCCCTTTTGTTGTTTAATTGAAGCCTATAGTTGCCATATTTGTTGTGAGGATTAATCTGCTCCGACTTAAAACGATTCAATAGTTTTAATCATACAACTGTCTTGAATATACGACCAAACTCGTTTTTTAACCAACTTTTCCTACTTTTTATTCAATTCACTTCCATAGCCAGTCTGCCTTCGTATCCCAAAACGCCCTCATTTAGTTGGACTTTTTAATTTATGCAACGATTGCAGTTTGCGGTTTGCGGTTTGCGGTTTGCGGCTTGTGGCAAGAGGCGTATGAGAGGCGACACATTGATCTTCAAACGACAAAACGGTAGTATGAAGATCGAACAAGATTTCATTGAACTTCAACGGAGCGTGTCATAAACTCTGGCGCTGATTTCAATTCAGATTTCGGTTTCGGTATTAAGAGTTGCAAATTAAGAAAAACGTGTAGTAAAATAATATGAAGATACTTGATGATAAAGAAATGAAATGCATTTGATTGGCATCTCTTAAGAGTACTGAATGAAGATCTTTTTCCACACACCTTGATCGTCAGCAAAACACTTCGCCTCAGTGTCAACAAATAATATTCATCGATCAAAGCACTGAAATCTTTCTGAAGTGACTGAATCTGACTTGAATTGAATTTCACAAAAACTTGTTTTCGTTGTTTTAATAAAAATTTCGAAATATTACAAATTGGTTTGTATTTGCGCTAAAAAGATAAAGAGACAGTCGAAAATTTGCAAGTCACTTCGTAGACAAATTAATTTCGGGTTGTGTGTGTCTGTTGGCAGCTAAATTGACAAATACCACTAGAATACAACTATATTTATTAAATATTTTCATATCAAAAATACGTAATTATGTACATAATTTATAGATTTTGCTTACATACCTATATGTATATACTAATTAACGATATACGGTAGAGATAATAACATTCTAACATGCGATGGCCACCTGAAAACACATGAAGTTCTGTCTCAATGGGAGATAATAAATATATTTATTTTGTTATTAAATTGTGCTTTATTTATTTGAGCTCGCTAACTAAGTACGTTACCAGATATAAGTTTTTTGCACATTAGTGAATATTAACCGCAAATATACTCAGGCTTATTTGAAAACGCCACATAACTATGAACGTTGAACGCTGAACGCTGAAGTCTGAGGGCAGATAAGATTCATAAAGTGGAAACATTACATTAGAATCAAAAATACTTTAGATGTCGTTATGCAATACAGTTTGCATCAATAGCCTGAATGACTTGAAATATTACGGAAAACAATTAAAAAGTATACTTTCTCCACGAAATGGCAATATACATAGAAAGCAATTAACTAAATCTCAGAAATGATCATAAAATAATTTCACTTATTCAATAGAACTATAAATAGATTTCCCTTTAAAATAATTCGCCATGCAGGAACTCATTCCAGAACTTCTGTGTTTCTCCCTTCTGAGATACAGAGTAGCATAAATGCCTTATTTCACTTGGAAGTGAAAAGGGATTCCACATCTAAATTCTTAAGATACTGTAAAGTCAAGTATTTTGTAATGGATAAGTGCGAAGAAACCATTTAATTTTGCGGAAAATTTAATAAAATGGCATAATATAAAAAAATAAGAAAATTTGTTAATTGCGTTTATAGCAAAAGGTCGTAAACATAATCGAATAAAGTTCTAATCGTACCAGGAAACGTTCTTAAGTGGAAAAGGCTTTTAATTTAATATTCTCCCTTTCTGTGATGCACTGTGCACGTCAAGGCATGGAGCGTGAAGCGAATTGCGGTGCAAACTTTTCAATAAAATTATGTTTACAGCCTCTTCTCATGTTTCCACAATAAATTTTAATTGAAGTTGATTAAAAAGTTCAGCACAGCGTGTTTCTGTAACAATTAAATTGTTGTCGCAGCAATCGAAATTCATTGATTGTTACAGATACTCAGTATAGACTATCGGCACAGCGCGAATGGCGACGCTTCTGCTTTTTTTGGGGTTAACACATCCATTAATTGGCTTCGCACAATATAATTCATAAGATGAGTACAAAATCCTTGAATTGCAAAATATATTTAATTCAAACAATAAAGATTAACAATTTATAGGCAGCAACAGATATCTTAATTTTATTTATCAATAAAAGAGTATGACAGTAAAAAGGTATATTATATTTTCATATCATTATACATATTTGATTGTCCAAATTTAAAATTTCTAAAAATATCTAATATCATTTTCTGTATTGTTTAGATTCGAGGCTGCCTTTACATATGTGCATTAATGCACTTAAACTTCAAATTTATCACGTACCACAGGGAGTTTCTACTGAAAATAGAAAAAATTAATCCTCAAGAAATCCTACACCGAAGCCACTTCAATTATCTTACAATAATCCTCTTCAATGTCAGCACTAACAAATTTGAATGAATGAAAATTATAGTATTATTGTTATTTTTATTATACTTGGAACGATATTTATTCGTTTTCTTTTAATTTGTTTACTTCTGACAACTTTTTTGGTAGAATACAATATTGTTCTTAACATAAATAAAAAGTTAGAGTCTTATTTTACAGTAATTATGACACTTAACCAAAGAGGCTTGCAGTAAAATGATAGCAATCTTATATCTTATACAATATAATGACTTTTCTATAAGCTAGTCAACTAAACAAAAATTGATTGACAGCATAGACTAATGAGAAAATGGCTTGAGAGTTCGCTTCACTCATTATGGCCTATAATAATCAAGTATATACTTAAATGGAATAAGCATTGTGCGACTCACAGATGCGTCGGAAATCCAAGCAGTATTTGAGAATATTTGAATATCTCGAAAAGTAGTCGATAAATTTTCAATTCCTAGGAAAATTCTAGCAAGTTTCATTCTCGCCATAGAGGAAATAAAAAAAATCTTGTCTGATTCTGTAAACAATAATGTTCTATAACTAGATTCACCAAACTAAATGTAAGATTGGACACATGAATACATATTTATTCTATTTCTTGAAATACGAGTATTATTGAATAACCAATACTATAAACTTAGGCTTAAATTTAAATCATATACACATTTGTAAATTATAAATATATATATATATATATATTATATATATATATATATTTAAAACACAATTGAGTCTCTCCTACAATTATGAAATAAAAATTTATTATTATGAAAAATAATTTACTAAACATTACTAGATTACTATTTGCACACAAACTTATTACAAATCCCATCATTATTATCGCTAAATTAATTATTAATAAATTTATATAATAATTTAATTCAATTGTATTCTTGATTTCTTTTTTTTATTTAATTACGGAAGAGCTCACCTCTTTTAAAATCAAATATAAGTATATGGGAGAAGCAAATTAAAAATTTTAATATAAATTTATAATATAATAATACATAATACATAACAGATAGAGAAACAAAACGGAAACGTCAGATGTCAGTAACATTTGTAAAATTTTCGCTTGTAACCTCAAGCAGAAAAGGTTCTGATTATAATGAATGGAAAATATCTAGTCGCAATTAAAATTAATTAAAGTAATTTTAAATTTCTAAAAACTGATCTCATACTGTACATTTAAAAAACAAATAGCATTTAATTTTAAGTTTATTTCATTTGGGACGAAATCTCCGAACAATCCGATCAGAGAGACTTAATTTCCACTTAAGCCGATCTCACAAGAGAGTCTTAAATATTGAATTTAAGGATTAAATAACATCTTAAAGAAGATGCGATTTATCTATAGGACTTAACAATGGGTATAATTTCTTAAAAAAATAAACATTGCGAAAAGAGTCTCTACAGTGTAACCGAGAGAGTCGTCATGGGCTAATACGCGAATTGAAATGAATAATCGCACTCATTGTTTACGTTATCAGAAATAAAATTTAATAAAAAAAACTGTTATTAATTAAAAAACTTTATCACATTTTTGAATATTGGCATGTAAACTAAAAATGGTTTGTAGTGTCAAGTCATTATATTTTAAAATAAATAAAAATATGCTAGATGTTCTATAAAATTCATTTTTATTCAATCAGATATGTTAACTATTTTGTCGATAGTATTGCCATTAGAACAGGAACTCATTACTTTAAGCAGTTTGTGAATGTCATTTCTTAATTAAAAAAATCACACTTCGACGAATAAACAAATACATTACTTTTTTATTGACCGTAAAACTTTATAGTTGTTAAATTGCAGAGCCTAAGTCGAGATTAGCTTAGAATGACAGACTAAAACGTAGTCGTTGAGCGGCGAAATGTCATAGTTTAAATGACTTCGTAATGAGGCGAGAAAATACCCATACTTTTTCGATTATTCATTAGACACACTTGAGGCTTGAGTGGGAAAAGCAACAAATATATTTAGTAATTCACTAATTTATTCCACTGTAAAAAAAGTAGGAAGATTATTATTTGTCGCTTATAATGCATAAAGAATTACATTTATATTCTAATGATGTAATTCACTAGTGAATTTCAAGTACGATAAAGAATGTTACTTCTGAGATGAAATCTGGTTAGCGTTTTCCGCTTAAAATTGCAAGAAAACCGCAAAAATAAATTGATTAACATTTCTTGGAATATTTTAAAATTATTATTTATTTTTTAATTATTTATAGATCAAATTGAATGTAACGTAAGTAAAAAGCCCGTATAAATTCAATGTAATCAACTCAGTTCAACAAGTATGCATTCCCGTATCTGAGGTATTTTGTGTGGCTTAATGTGCAGATTTGTTATTATTTTTATTTATCATTGAACTTTGTCAAAATGCGATTAAACGCTGGACGGCGGTCAAATAAAATTCTACCAAAAATATTTTCACAATCTCCTCCTGTAGATGTGACCAACACTTTTGCCAAGCGAATACTTTCTTCATTGCCTCGGCAATTTGGTTTTGACCGTTGATTTGTTTAAAAATAATAATTTGTTTTTGTACTTTTTAACCGAAATGAGATTAAAAATGAAAAAATACTCAAAAATAGTAAACCATATCGTTTTGTAGATATTTTATTTATGTTTGCGTGAGTTTACGTCGATAAGTAATGAAATAATATTCATTTCGCGCGATATGATTTCAATTTAAACTTATTTAGATTCAATTAATTAATTCATTTGAATACAATTCCTTATATATATAAATTTCTTTAAAAATTAAAAAAATGCGAAATCATTACACTTAGACAAATAATAATTATCAGTGAATTTATTTATTTCTCTAAAAATCAGTCCTCAAATTAATTAAATATTTTCGAATATTCTTACTTAAAGCTTTTCGAAATTACGTCACTTAGTCGTTATTTAGACTGAATTCAACACGAAATTAATTTTCAAATAAATATATAATTTATTATCTTCAAGTTACATTTGTGAAATTGCCTTTGTTTTATTATATATTCACTGCTTCAAACTAAAACTGAAACATTTTTTTTAGTTCGCAATTCGCAATTCGCAATTCGCAATTCGCAATTCGTTTGAAAACAAAGCGGTACCGACGACGTGTTAACCGCTTCACGTACACTTCTCAACTTGTTGGTGGTTTCCGATGCCGGTTCAATATATGACTGTCTGCCTGAAACAAACTGAATTCTCTCCTTTGTGCGCCTCCATTCAGCTGTGCTGTAGAACTTGTTCGAGGCCATGCGTGAGTAAGAACTTACGCTCTCCGCCGCTTTGCTCGCGCTCTGCTTTGCTTTCACTCACCAGCCGTTCAGTTGGTCGAGTGCTCATATTGGCCAAAAGCAAGGCAGGAAACATATGTGGTACTGGTGGTATCTGCGAGTGCTAACGCATTTTCCCGTTGTCGTCATAGTCGTTCTTCGTTAATGTGTTGTTACAATAAATGCTCAACTGTTCAAATCGTGATTTGGACATTTGTGGACTTCTGACTCCGCTTAACTTCTGAAACGATATAATCGCGAATAAATCGGACAGCAGACTAAAGATAACTCACTTTGTGTTTCGAACTATAAATCATACAGGAAAGCGATAACTAATGTGTTTTAAATGAAAAGTAATCACGCAAGTGCTTACTTTTATAGTTTATAATTACCGAATCTAATTTCACAACTTTACAACATACATGTTATTTTTTGGACTTATAGATTATAGCAACTATTAGGAAAAAATACTTTTATGTTCATTTAGCTTTAGGTTTTGGCTTTTTATGCGGATAAACTCAAATTATTCCTCGGATTGACCTTGGAAATATACTTCAAACTTTAAGTTCACAGATCGCTAAAAGAGCAAATTTTTTCCAATGAATTTGAGTGGTTGCTATATTAGTTTGAAAGCGGGAAATATTTTAAAAATGATGACAAACAAGGTGATAAAAATTATATCTACTTTTCTAGAAAGTGTATTTCATTATAAGCTAGAAGTTACTTAAGTAAACTGAAAAGTGGCTTAGAAAAAAGCCTACAATATTGCAGTCTGGTACTGATACAATTTAAGGATTTCTCATTAAAAGAGTTCACAGAAATTATAGTCCATCAACTACTGCAACAAAAACTATCTATATGCTGCACACTAATATCTATTAAATTATTTCGAAGATTCCATAAAAATAAAATTATTATTATTATTAATTATTATTTATTATTTATTTGTATCACTTATTTATATATAGGTTGCCTTCTAAAATGTCTCTGACTTTAAACATGACTTTTTATTTTCTTTTCTGTTTTCTGTTTTTAGTAAAGTAGTGTATGTTGGAACTTTGACAGTTTGTAATTGTCTTTTTTGTTTTTGATGCTGTTAGTTGACTCTTTGGTTATTTATTATTTGAATGTACATATTTTAATTCAGTTGGACTCTACCTATATGTGTAAGAAAGAAAAGGACATTAATATTAATCAGTATGAAATAAGTTGAAATTGTCTTAATATTAAATTAATTAGTTTAATTTCATTGAAATATAAAAATATATCTTATGACTTTTTTATGTTTGGTTAAATTACATATTTTAACGACTTTAGTAGGGACTGTGTTTAGTGCACTTAAGTATCATTTTTTAATTTTTGATGCCACTGTATCAGTTACTTTAATATTTGTCTGCTTTAAAGTATATATTTGAATTAAGTTGAAAACTGACTGCATACATAGATGTAGCAAAGGGGTTTACTACGAAACATATAACTATGAAATTTAGGCAATTCATATGTAGAATTAATATTTTCTATGCGCGATTTGGAATTATTATTTTAATAAATATTATTCAGGTTTTGTTAACTTAATTTTGTTTCTTTTTTTAATTCGTCAATATATAAAATGAATATCTAATGATTTTGAAAATCTATTTCACACAAATCAGTCCATATATAACATAATACAGTCAATGTTTGTTACAATCAATTTTATACGAGTATTCAATAGACTGCATTACATATGCAATAAATACAAGATGCGAAGATTATGTTTTTATATTTTTATTGCTACTAAGTGATTTATTTAATTATGTAAATTTCTAGACATAATTTAAATTTATGAAAATCTCAGCAACAATCTAAATACCATAAAAAGAAATAACGTGAACAATTGTTGTTTTTTCAGTTATTTTCTGGATTAGGAAAGCATCGTTCATAAAAGAAATATGACAGTTTATGCAAGCCGAACTGTGAATGAGTTTTAGAAAGCAAGTATTTTTTCCACTGATTCAGCCGATATGTGTCAACTCTCCCATTTAGAATGTTAAACGCTTCTTGTCACCTTCGAATTTAGAGCGTCTTTAACAGAAGAACTCTGCAAATGAAACCATCTTCCTCCGAGTTTTTCTTTCTGCCAATGCAAATGACAGCATATACGATAGGGAATTACCGCATTGCCTTAGCATATGGAAAATTGAATATCTCACAGAGGAGGTGAGTAAATGCGCAAAGGCGTTACTACCTACAAGATGCTGTGTTCAGCTGCAGACACATAAACTCTGCACCAAAATAGTGAAAGATACAAACTCTATACCGCTTATTAAGGCGGCATGTGTTGTCCTTTGCAAGATTATTTAATTCGAACTCGCACAAGCGTTCCAGGTACAAAGTGAAGTAAAAGAGCATGGTTTAAATTGTTAATTAGCTGCCGGTAAAGTCAAATCGTTTCCGGTTTAGTAATTATTTTTTAAATATTTTTTAATTTAACATAAATCGACCAATACGCTTAAGCGGGAACTCACTGGCGCTTCAAGGAAAGGTGTTTAAAAGATTTTCTTTTTATAAAATTTAATGGCAGAACATATACTTTGGAGTCAACGAAAAAATATTTCTACAATATTTTAAACTCATGTTTTGAAGTTGGTTTCCTAATTTTCCAGTTGTTGTGGTTTAAACCGACAAAGAAATATACTTTTGTCAGTGTTACAGTCCGTCTACACACTTTTATTACCAAAAACTATTCCCGCAATGATATTCTGTGAAACCATCTCTTCAAAGAAAATACAAATTTGAATTTCATTTATTTTTTGATATAAACGCCAAGCAACGAACTCTTCAAACTGTCTCAATCTGACGTCATTTGGCGTGACTTTGCAAAAAAATAATTTGATAAAATTTTTCTTAATTTTTTTAAATATTTATTCGTTAAACATTTAAGTAACAAAATATCCACAATTACTGATTAATTTAAAATAAGTTATTTCAACTAACAAAGTGAAAAGTAAAAGAAACATACATTAAAGTTTAAAACTTCAACTTAACATAATATGACAACACAACTATAGCTCATATTAACAACAAGTGAGTCTGATTGCTGCGAATCGTTACTATTGTGAAATTAGTCGATCTTTAACTTTGCCTTTGATTATTTATTGAACAAATCCCAAAAACACCAATACTGGCATGACATTCCAAGTAACTATCCCTTTTCATTAGGACACACCTGCAGGTACTCGAAGATTATTAGACTAGTTAAGTTAACTTGCGTTACCATCTCATGAAATGTTTGTCGAAAGAATTGGCGATATTACCCGTCTCTAGATCATAGAGTCATTCAAGGAAGCCTCTAATTCGTTCTTACTAATCTTGATAACATGTTATGAGACAGTTTGTTAGAGACATAGAACTAAGCAAAGCAATGTAGTTCCTTAGTGGACCCACGCATTTTTGAAAATGCGTGAAATCTTAGTGAAATCCAACAAGCTTTCGATTCAGGAACTCAAAACTTAATTGCAGTACAAAATAATATAAGAATATGAGATCCTCTAAACTGAATTGTAATAAAGAACTGTGTAATAAAAAAATTGGTAAGAAATCAAGTTTGGAGTATGTCAAGTGCTTTCTTCAAAGGGACCGGATAGGTAATTTTGACTTCTGCAATATGTGTTAAATCAGAGGTCAGTAATGTGCTTCGATCACAACATTTCTTACTTGTATAACTAATTTGCCGCAAAATATCAGTCTAACCAGTAATCAAACTCATATTATTACCATAACGAAAGATTCAGTATAGTTAGAAGCATGGTCAGAGACACAAAATGACAAAGTTTGACTTTTCATCATTTATTGCCTTTAAGCTCCCTAGGCGAAATGGAATATACTCTATCACGCTAAAGAGATTTGGAAGCATCTAAATTTTATAAAGTTTGTTTCTTATCTGGTCTATGTATTTTTCTACAACTTAGATGCTCTGTAAAAGTAATATTTATTCCCAAGCCGACCACACTCTAGCATATACATAACAGTCATAAATTTAACCTGGATCTTACTTAAGAGTTTATAACACTAGATTGAATACTTAAGAGGATTGATTTTCCGGCATAAGAGAAAATCTTTTGGCAGAACATAGGGTTAAAGTCTGATAATTGAAATATATAGAATAAATTATGAGTATGACTATATATAGCTCTCAGACGAAATTACATTTGAATGTCGATCATTTTCAATGGTGTCATGAGTTATGTGTTTTAAGTGAATCTTAGTTTCTTGGAATGGTTGAACTAATTCAACTAATCCATAAGGAGAATATTCGTGTTTATTAATATTTCAGAATTGTGTAAAATGAATACTTTACTATTCTTCGTATATCCAAACTAAGAAGTTTGGATATACTGTACTTTAGTTAACTATGTTTCTTTTAGATACACATATAAAGCTTGAAATAAGAACATTCATTGCATTTCATTTTAAAAGTGTAATCCACAATTTTTTGTTATTTATAACACTGTCAGTTCAGGTCTTCAGATAACTTTTTGAATTTAATCTTTTCAATCCAAAAATGTACATTTCTTCCATATGTTAACAAAAATTCGTCATTCTTTCTAAAATTATTCAAACATTTTACTGTTTTTGCTGTGTTATTCACAATCTAGCTTGCAAGTCACGTTTGTGGACAAAAATCAGTAACGCCGCGCCGTTAAAAGGCAAATAAATTTTGGGTAACCGAAAGGGCCCATAAATGAGTAATGAGATCTTAATTACATACAGTTATCGAAAAGTGAAAAAGCAAAAATAACAACTAAATTGAAAGACAAGTAACGAATAAAAAAAATATTAAAATAATTCGAAAATGAATATAATAAACAAATGAGTAAGCGAAGACTTTAACTAAAACATTGCCATCATAACGCATACGTTAACGCACCCACCTTGGAACCCGGCGGGTACCAACCCGCTCAGCTAATTTGTGAGAACAACTGAAATTTGTGCTCGCAAACGTAAACTAGATTCTAGTGAATGTTGGTAAATTCAGTGGAACAAATTATGAGAGTTGGAATAATAAATCTCTGAACGTTTAAATATTTGCGTAGAGATTTCTTGAATTGCTTTATTGCTTCAACTAATTAGTAGAAATTAGTAGCAGCCGACCGGCTGGTTGTATATTTAAAAATATTAATAAAAGTAATCTCTGCAAATAAGATATGGGCTGGGGAAGCTTCTTTAGTGTCACAAACAAGTGACGAAATTAACAAATAAATTATCTTTACTCAGTAAACACTCGGAGTTAAACGGTATTGCCTTGGTCAACTAGCTAGAGAGGGAATGAATAAAGTGTTAAAAGACACGTGGCTGTTCAGTAACACATTTACAATCTTTAGGAAAACTTAACATACATTGAGCCAGTTGACATTGCATATTGAATTTTAAAAAAGAGCTGACATATTTGTGGTTCTTAATAATTCTTACGGCACAAATACTTGGAGTCTTAAAATTTTTGTCTGCTGCAAATGTGGCGTAAGTTGATAAGAATCATACGCACACTAGCGCTCAGCTATCATTCTCGCTATCATACCGCTCCAAACGTGCCTACAAAAGCACTCCACTGAATGCCACCAAGCCCAAAACCCCAAAGCCAATTAATTCCAATTAATTGCGCTCCAACACTTTTGCCTTTTCTAAGCACTTAACAATCACACACTAGCACAATTGCACACTAGCACAATTGCACACTAACACATTTGCACACTTGCACACTCCATTTATTTAAACACTTCCAATTTATGTAATTAGGAAAATTCACCCAAAAAAATAGATAAAAGCAATTGACGGTTTCGTTTTGTATTGACGCAGAAATATTATAGGGGCCCGATTAAAGCGTTGAACATGGAAGCTACCGCTAACAATTTAGAACCGCTCGAGTGGCTCAGTTACACAATTACACAGACACACAGATACAGTAGCTGCGTTTTAATATTCTGTTAAGCTATAATGAATTTGCATTTTTCCCAATTGACTTTTATATTTTGATTTGAAATGTTACCAAAACAAACAATTCAGTTTTATTTAAATTGAGTTCATTTATGGATTTACTTAGAATTATTTATAGTCATAAGCGCGACCATACAAATTCGAGGCGTTTCAATTTGGAAGTTGTACTTGTTCTTGTCGCCAAGTGTTCGTGAAATGGGTTGTTAATTAGTGAATTACTAAGAAATCGGAATCCCCATTTAAATGGAATATTTACAACAACCTATTGTTATGTTTAAAGTTCCATTAATACTCCTGACGTAATTGAGAGATAGACAAATTCCTTTAGTAATCCTTTAAAAAGATATCTCTGATTAAGTATAAGAAACTTGGAGATGCAATTATTGATAGCTCAAGGAGATTTATGAAAACATATAGCTTGCTCTGAACTTATGTGAGTGCTGCTCTGAGTTGTTAACAAAACATGGTCGTCGAAAATGAGCAGTTCCTTTATGTACACATGACACGACTTTTTCCTTAACATCATACTTATGGAATGATACTTATATGCATAAATATAATTTATTATTTCTGCATTTTTAATAGCTACATTAACTGTTTGAGTTGATTTAATTTTGAAATATCACATTTTTTTAGTTAAGTATAAATTTTGCACAAAAACAATTTGTTAATTTCCGAAGAAGCAAAAATAATTTCGAAAGATGTAATAGATCCTAAAAGTTTGTGACAAAACTATGGTTTGCAATACCACTCAATAGCACCACTCTTATGAAGCACTATATACCTTTATTTCTCAAAAAGAATATCTTGATATAGTAAGCAAAAATAATTATCTTTTAAAAAGAATCTCAAACGAGAAAGTATATATATATATATATATATATATATACTAGCGTTGATATATACTAGCGTTGTTACCGAAAAGTTGCAGAACTATAATTGCAAAGCTATGTAGATGGATCATAGGTCAAACACTAATAGTAGTGGCACATGTATTCTCGACAAAAATAACCAAAAGTGATGACTTCTTTATATATTGCGTTGTCACAAACAGACTTAAAATTCTTCAGGTACTCATCAATTTGAGGAGTTTCTAAACGTCTCAGGAATGGCGCTTGAAAAACTACATAAAAGCCTTTTTTTATTTGGTATCGATAGGAATCAATATGTTTATTTACATATGTCTAATAGAAAAAATAATTCAGTCCATTAAAAAAAATAATTCAATCCATTCAGAAAACAGTTCGATTTTTAAGGCATCAAATGCACAACAGGGATGTTATCAGATTTGGTTGCCTGAACCATATTTATCAGTTTGACTTCTTTTTTATAAAAGCGACTTAAAATTTTATTATTTAACAATAATTTATTAAAATAAAATTATTCTAATATGCAAAAGTTAACAAAAAAACTTAATACAAACATTAACGAATTAATATTTACAATATCTAAAAAAATGAACAGTCAACAGCGATCACAAATGCGTCGGCATCAATGGAAAAATACCTTATATGGTACTCAATTTAATTCTCCATCAATCGGTTTAGTTTTTTGAAAATGTTTTCTGTAAAAATCTTCTAGGACCCAGAGCAAAATGGCAAGAACACACAACGAGTTCAGGAAATTTAGAGTAAATGCATAATTTGTGCTGTCACGTATCAGACCTAGTAAGTAATAATTTCAAATGTTAAAATAGTTTTTATTGAATTCAATATTTCCTAAATATTATTTACCAATAAGTGGTCCACAGGCTAATGAAAATAGACCAGACATAAGGAGCTGTAAACCTGCAGCAGCTGGTAAGCGCTTAAGAGGTACATATCCCGGTATAATCAATGACCAACAAACCGTACGGAAGGCTTTGTTCAAACCTAGCCAACAGAAAATAGCGATCATAACGTAGAAATCATTTGTAAAAGATAACTGCAAAAAGAGTAATATATAAAAGAAATAAAGAACTGTCTTTCTCAATAGAATAATCTTACAATAAAACGTCCCAAACACATGCCTAAGATGCCAATGGCAAATAGAGTTTTGTTACTGTAGCTGACTCTTGCCGTGATGAGTGGAATCAAGAAACGTATCACTAAATCGAAGAAGCCCAACAATGACATTGCCAAAGCAATTTCGTTAGCTCCAAATCCAAAATCGGAAAGAATGAACGGAGTCAAAATAGCAAAATTGATTTCCACAAAATTTATTAACGTTAATCCTACAGCTAAATTTACATAACCGAAATCCCGCAGCAGGTCCAAGTCGAAGAAAACTACAATTTTTTGTAGAAAACTTAATTTTTCCTCTTTTTCCTCAACTTCTTCTTCATTTGGTGTAAGCCCTATTTGAGGCGTATTGAGAATAGTAAGTTCTGTTTGTTGAGGTTCATTATCGTGACGTAACTCATGGTCTTCTTCCTCTTTAATACTTTCGCTTGTGGAGAATTGTCGTTTCTTACCATTTAATTGTTGCATTTCAAAAATTTTCTCACGGGTTTTGTCCCAACTTCCTGAACGATTTCTACTCGCTGAGTTTAATGAAGATCTCGAACCATACCAGCTGGTTATGACCTGTGTTTCCGGATCAGCTATTTGCTCTAAAGATTCCTCTTCATTCTGAGCATCATTCACAGGTTGTTGGGCTTCTGTATCCTTAGATTTTTTTACATGCCATCTAACTGGCTGGTAAATCAAGGAACATGCAATCGTGTGAAACGATATACCTGCAAACAGCATTACTGTGCCTTGCACTCCGAAATATTGCAGTAGATAAGTTGCCACATAAGGCAGCACAATAGGCCCTAGTCCCGCTACTCCGAATTGATATGCTGTTGCTGTGCGTCGTTTTTGTTTGAAGTATGTATTTACCGCTAAGGATGAGGCTGACACAGCCAAGCCACGTCCAAATCCTAATTGAAGTTTTAAAATAATTAATAAAATAATATTCATTGCATTATTTACAAACTCGGCATACCATAACATAACGAAAATGATAAAACGTAAAGCATAAATGTATCAGCAAATGCTGAAAAAAATAATCCTAGGAATGTTAAGAACGAACCAACAAGAGCCACCTGACGGAAAGTATACCTGCGAAACATGGGGCCATTGAGAAGACCTGTAAAAATAACAAAAAATAGTTTTTACTTTTCTGAGATATATAGAGATGTAAAAAACATAAATCAGATATTGTTTTAACCATTTTTCTGATTAAATTCCTTACCAGTTATTGCAGATACTGCGATTTGTGTGTTAATAATTGTGGTCAACTGGGAGCTGTTGATGCCTAATTTTAACATATGCTCTCGAAATATTATGCCAAACTGCTGAGCTAGTGCAAAAGTCGTTAACTGAAGTGAAAAGAAAAATGTTATATATTTTTATTTAGAAGTGATATAGGACAACTCCATACCGTATGTACACCAGCTGATACGGCTACTAGCCAACCCCAACCACCATCAGGAGCCACGAAATCATCGCCCAAATCACTTTTGTCACGTCGCTTCTTTTTCAATTTTTTCACAGGTTGTGCCACTGGTCTCTGCACAATTTGTGTATTATTGTTGCTTGGGATCAAAATTGTCATGGAAGGATCGTCATTCCTACTATGTCCGTTTGTAGTATTAACGCTTGTCATTTTAAGTTTCGAGACTGTAAAATCAAGAGTAGTGAATAATGAATTAATCATAATAACTTGAATAGCATTATATGGGCAATATTTTTCTTTCCTATTTATGCGAACCACAATATTATTAGAACTTGTTTTGAAATACGACCTAATCTAAATACTCTAAAATTAATACACAAATTTTGTATTACTAGAATTAATCCTTCAGCCTTTCGTATGGTTCTGTGCTAATTATATAAATTTTTGAATTAATTAAATAAATTTTTGTAATTAATATATAATTTAAAATTATTAATGGTTCAATTTTTATAAGTCAATTATGTTTTCATATCATCATATTAAATACGCTGTGATAATCAGAGCATTTCAATAGATTTAAAGGTCAAATAAAATATTTCACAGACAAAGAGCCATATCTCCCACGACTTGCATTAAAGTTAAATAAAATTGATAAGAAATCTGGGTAAGGAAGCTGACATTGACAAAGCTATCATATAAGGCAAGTAAGTGATTAATCTTTATGATTTTTATTATTAATGGATGCTTTGTATAAACTCACCACGTAATAAGTAATATTTGCGGGCTAAGACGTTATGAGACTAATAAAATATTAATTTATTTTGGAACCTCACATTTTCTCATTTAGTACTGTACAAAATATATGAATTATCAAACAGAGTTTTAATTCATCCCATTATTAAGCTTTCGTTATATAAACTCTCAAAAAATAGAGTTGAACGATAAGTAACTGTTGTGCTTCACACTTGCTTTCGCATTGTTCAGATCATGTGCGACTTAGATCAAGCATGCTCACTCTCTAGAGGATCATAGCTCTCAAAGAGCATCTTAAGCACAATTAGGATTGTTAGATGGTT